GCACTGCGGGCGGGGGCGCGCGGGGCGGAGGCGCGGCGCCACCAATCGCAGACAAAGGCCGCCCCGTGAATCATGTGGTGCCGGGAGGAAGTCGGCTTGTTGTCTTTCCTCCAGCTGCTGGTCCGGGCGGAACGATGCGCGGAGACCCCTGCGAGGGTGGCGAGCCCCGATGAAGTCCGAGCCCCCGGCCGCGCCGCAGCGCCCCCGGCCCAATGGCGGCCCCGCGCTGGGACCCCCTCCGCAACGACTCGCTGCCGCCCACGCTGACCCCGGCCGTGCCCCCCTACGTGAAGCTCGGCCTCACCAGCGTCTACACCGCGTTCTACTCGCTGCTGTTCGTGTTCATCTACGCGCAGCTGTGGCTGGTGCTGCGCTATGGCCACAAGCGGCTCAGCTACCAGAGCGTCTTCCTCTTCCTCTGCCTCCTCTGGGCCTCCCTGCGGACGGTCCTCTTCTCCTTCTACTTCAGAGACTTCGTGGCAGCCAACGCGCTCAGCCCCTTCGTCTTCTGGCTGCTCTACTGCTTCCCGGTGTGCCTCCAGTTCTTCACCCTCACCCTCATGAACTTGTACTTCACGCAGGTGAGCCGGGCGGGCGGGAAGTGCGTGGAGGGCGCGGTGCGAGGGCGACGGGAGCGATGGCAGCGCGGGGGGGCAGGTCGCAGAGCCACGGGACTGGGAGTGTGGGGGAAGAGGCACTGGTTCTGGGGTCGTCTGAGCCCGTCCTACCTGTGGCCCTTTCTCTCAGGTAATGCCCTCCCATTCTCAAGAGGCGAAGAACAGTGAGGGCTGGACGCCACCTGTCAGTCTGCCCTTAGCTCAGCACCATCCGATGGGTGTGGGGCCCTCTCCGCACAGGGCGCGCAGCATGTTAGCGCACACATCAGGATAGGTACTAGGTACCGATGGCAGGTGTGCCCACAAGGGAGACTAGTGTCAGGCTCCAAGCACAAGCCTAGACGTTTATTGGGGCTCTTTTACAGGCGTCATTTTATGAGGCGTATTGTTAATAAGCTAATGGGAGTACATATAAATAGGCTTGATTGCTGTCACCGTTGAGTTAATGAAAGTATAGTAATTGTAAAGTACTGCAAATACTGTGGCATTTCATAAAGTTCAATAACACAATGCTACCATCATCATCATCATCATCATCACTGATTCTCATTAGCTTTCCAAGCACTAAAATGCCCGTTTTCACTAGGACTCTGCCCAAGGGAAGGCACCCAGCGTGTCACTTGCTCAGGGTAATTTAAAAGCTGTCTCATGAGCACAGGCTTGGTGCAAGCAGGCATCCATTTCTTTAAACAGTGTTCCTATTTCTCTAAAGAAAACGTTATTGCTTTTTTTATAAAAAAAAGAAAAGGTAGACAAAGGATTGTCCTGGTGTAGTGGGAACCCCTGACTAAAAATTTGAAGGACATACGTGTGGCTAAAATATAGCATGTGTACTGTTTCGTAGCTATTATACTCTTATTAAAATGGATTTACACTCAAAGCCACCTTATAAGTCCAGTGTATCAGCGCATTGTCCAGTCTACGACTAATGTGTATTATTTGTCCAAATACTACTCTTAAGCCCCAAAACCAGTTCAGGCAGTCAGCTCCACTGCAGACACTCCAGCTTTTTAATTGGATCAAAAGGAGTGGTTCCAGCAAGACACAAAAGTCAGGTGGGTTGATATTACTTCAAGAACGGTGACAGTGGCCATTTGCACCTTGAGATCTTGATTCGTGCCTTTTTGAGACTGCCACGGCTCTCTGGTAATCACATGCAGATTCTGCTGGATGAGGAGCAGGCTGCACATTTTCTGCACCACCCTACTGGTTGGCTAGTCAATGCTGAGCGAGGGAAAGTGTGACCAGGCAGACAGAGTCAGTCACAGCCACGGCCCTGGCTTCTTTATGTCTCCCGAGTCTTTTGTTCTCTATATCTCCAGGGTGGCTGGCAAGGGAAGGTGGTACCTAAGTGCTGGCATCTCAGATGCTGGCAGAGCAAAGCCGTTTCCTGACCTCCTGACAAATATTCTGGGACTCGGGGGAGTCATAAAGGGTCTCCTTTGGCTCTCTGCTCTGACACCACCCTCTCCCCTCCCCCACACGCCTGCTCTTTGACCTGAAAGCTCTTAGACCAGGGAACTTAAGAATTACTGCTGCCTGGGCCCCATCTCGGAGCAAGTAAATCGCATTTTGGAAGGAGGGGGGTAGCAGCCAACAGCTAAGAAGCAGGGACTTACTGTGCGTTAGGCAGTTTTAAGCAGTTTGTCTTGTTTATTTTTTATAACAACCCTGTGAAGAAAGTACCGATGATGTCCCCATTTTATAGAGGAGGATCAGAGAGGCTAAATGACTTGCTTAAGGTCACATAGTGCACGGTGGAGCCGGGAGTCACACCCACATCTGTGACATCTGAGTAGAAGGGCTTATCCCTATGGTACAGTATTTGAAACCTCGTGCTGCGGAAAACATGCCCTCCTCTAAATGTAACACCTGGTTCTCGAGGAGCTGACCACCAGGGTAGGGGGACAGAGTGTACACACGACACAGTTCCGTAACAACCCCAGGGATTTCCAGGGGTACCTTTAAGCGTTAGGAGACTTGAGCAGGGCCAGCATCCTCAGGAAAGAGGTGGGTTTGTACCAGCTCCTGAGGCTGGAGGCTGGGAGGCTGGGAGGCAGGAGGAGAGGACAGTGGGAACGATGCCGCATGGCACAAGTTGAGAGCCAGGAAGGAACTGGAAGGGGGTTCCCAGAGGTGGAGGAAGGGTCTCTCTGTGGTTATCAAGTCCTTTACGCCTGCCTAGTCAGTGCCCAGGGCCTCTGTGCTCATCTGTCTGATGAGCTCCCTGATAGCCTCGGAGAAGGGTACTAGGAGTCCCTGCTCTGAGGTTCGGAG